TGAAACTAGAGTGTATTATGCTAAGCAACATAAGTCAGAGACAGAGATCATATGATTTCACTTGTGTGGAATTTAAAAAACAAATAAATACAGGAGAAGGAAAGGAAAAATAAGATAAAAACAGAGAGGGAGACAAATCCTAGGAGACTCTTAAATACAGAGAATAAACAGGGTTGGTCAAGGGGAGGTGGGCTAAATGGGTGATGGGCATTTAAGCAGGGCTCTTGCTGGGATGAGCTCTGGTATTATGTCTAAGTGATGAATAACTAAATTCTACTTGTGAAACCAATACTACACTATATGTTAACTTGAATTAAAAAAAACAAGCAAAGAAAAACGGGTGCCTGGCTGGCTCAGTCTGTAGAGCATGCGATGTTTGATCTCAGGGCCATAAGTTCAAGCCCCATTCTGGGCACAGAATTTACTTTAAGAAAACGTGTGTGTGTGTGTGTGTCTGTGTCTGTGTGGCTCAGTTAGTTAAGTGTCTGACTCTTGATCTCAGCTCAGGTCATGATCCCAGTGTAATGGGATTGAACACCATGTCGGGCTCTGCCCTGAGCATGGGGACTGCTTAAGATTCTCTCTCCCCCTCTGAGCCTCTCCCCTCCTCGTGAGCTTTCAGTATGTACTACTACCCTGACCATACAGCATAAGACAACTAGAGTTCAACAGCCATGGATTTTTGTCACCCCAGGCAACTCACAAAATCCACTTTCTGCTCTGCTTCAGCCTTAGAAGCAAACAGCCCTGAAGGCAAAGTAAGAAGTATTAGGCGCTCAGCAAAGCGATTTTTGAAGGCTGGTCACTCTTGGGTAGCAGTGTATTTGTAGAGAAAGGCTGAATCATCTCTCAACAGCTTCAGAGAACTGCTGCCACATGAGTGCGTATGCAGTATTCTCATTTGCGAATGCTGCTTAACCATTACTGGGAAATAAGCAGAAATGAAGAAGGATCCATTCACCAACCATATAGGAAACTCACTGAAACAATTGTGAGAAATGCATCAGGAAGGTGGTACAACTCTGGGCTAAGGCTGCAGGCTCTGGTGTTAGAATCCCTGAGTCCAGATCCCTGCTCTGCCAACTACTGCTGTGTGACCTTTAGCAATTGACATTTTTCTGCTTTAGTTTCACCATCTTAAAATAGTATTAATTCCTACGTCCTACAGTACTGTGAGAAATACATGAGGTAATAAATGCACCCAAAGCACTCAGACTAGTGCCTAGTACATAATAACACACAAGTACTAAGTGCTAGATATCATTTCTACCAATGGTGTGATATATTTTCATTCACACTAGTAGACTTCTTAGCCTTTGGACATCAAGGAAAAAAAGACTCATGCACCCAATGAAAACACAATTTAAAATACACATGTTGGGAGATTAGCACTAGATCCAGAAAATGGATTGAGAAACAACCTGGCCCCATTTTTTATCTGTTTGAATATTTGATGTCAGTACATTAGCTCTAGGTCTTGCTTACCAAGAGAAGTCCCCTCCACCATTGCTGACCTAAAGATACACAAAAAATGGCCACCCACAGCTGGTGCAAGCTCTGCCACATGGAATAAAAATTAAACGAGTGTGAACACGTACGTTAGCTAGTGTGTTAATCAGGTGTTTAAAAAGTCTGATGAAGGGTGCCTAGGTGGCTCAGTCGGTTAAGCATCCAATTTTTTTTTTATGTTTATTTTTCATAGACAGAGAGAGAGACAGACTCCAAAGCAGGTTCCAGGCTCTGAGCTGTCAGCACAGAGCCCAACGTGGGGCTCAAACCCACAAACTGCGAGATCATAACCTGAGCCGAAGTCAGACGCTTAACTGACTGAGCCACCCAGGCACCCCAAGCATGTAATTCTTGATTTCAGCTCAGATCATGGTCTCACAGTTCATGAGTTTGAGCTCCACATCGGGCTCTGTGCTGGCAGCACGGAGCCTGCTTGGGATTCTTTCTCCCTCGCTCTCTGCCCTTCCCCTGCTCACTCTCTCTCTCTCTCTCTCAAAATAAACATTTAAAAAATAAGTAAAAACTCTGATGAAATAGAAGAACATGCTTTTTCCATAGCATTCAATATGAACACACAAGATTTCTTACCCAATAACATCATCTCCCCAACACTGTCTTCCTTCTCTGAGGTGGGTTGTTGAGTAGCATCTAGGCTCACACATTCTTCTTGGGAGTGAAATACATTCAAATCCTCAAAGACCACCAGTTCCTGAAAGAGCAATAGACCCCATTCCTCTTAATAACAGAGGTTGTTTGACATCCTTGCTGGTAAAATAGGCTGGAACCCAAGGATCAGGGAAGGGAAGGTGAAAGGGACCTATAAATCCTACGCAGATGCAGCAGACAGGAAACCCAGGCTCAGACAGGAGCCAAAGGATAAGCAGAAGAGAAACATCCAAAGAGGCAATGAAAACAAGCCCACTCTCCTTACAAGGGTATGTCTTTTTTTTTTTTTTTAATTTTTTTTCAACGTTTATTTATTTTTGGGACAGAGAGAGACAGAGCATGAACGGGGGAGGGGCAGAGAGAGAGGGAGACACAGAATCAGAAACAGGCTCCAGGCTCTGAGCCATCAGCCCAGAGCCTGATGCGGGGCTCGAACTCACGGACCGCGAGATCGTGACCTGGCTGAAGTCGGACGCTTAACCAACTGCGCCACCCAGGCGCCCCCTTTTTTTTTTTTTAAATACATATATATGGGTTGACTGAGCGGGGAGGGCTGTAAGAGCAGAGAAAGTGATGTACTCAAAACAGTGAATGGGAAAACCGAACCCACCTCAGGCTCAGTTTTCAGATACAGAGACAATGTGTCCTGTTTCTGCTGGATTCCTTCTCTGGGTAGAAGCTTCACTATGGGATGAGGTTGCACTGGGGAAAGAGGAAGCTGTAGTTAATGGAAATGTCAGTGACTCTAATATGGAAACCCTAACCACACCTTGAGGCCACACTGTCCTCACTCCCTCAGAAGGCAACTCATGGTTTTTTTCAGCTTCTGTGAGCCCAGGGAAGAGCTCAAGCCATAAATCACAGGGTCTTGAACCTGTATCTAGGGTCTCCTCATTATGAAAAGAATGATTCCCTTAAGGGTTTTTTAAATTCTTTTCACTAGTAAAGGGGAGGGTAAAGTCTGGAGATGCCCATAACAAGCACAAAATTTCCAAAATTCCACATAAACGGCAGTCAATTAAACAATTCATCCAAATTTCTTTATGGTAAAACGATATACACTCCCCCTCCACTATGGAAAGTTACACACAGTTTATTCCATGGCTTTACATACACCCAGCAATCCACTCAAGCGCCAGCTTGAGAAAAAAAAATACTCCCTCTCCCCAGTATGTTGACTTATTAAAATCCACTCCTTTTTTTCAATACCCACTACCCTAACCTGAATTCATTACTAACATGAAAACCTATTTCAGACCCCAATACCATTCTCTTCTCTTCTAGCGAAACAGCATATACTTCTTACATCTGTTCTGAAAGTTTGAGCTCACATCCTTCATAATAACCAAAGTCTCCTTGACTTTCTGATTGGGCTGCACCACGCTTGGCTTGGGCAAGAAGGTGAGGAAGTGCTCCAGAACTAGCTGGTGGATGGTCTTGGGCCCACTAGTAGCATCTCGAAGTAGGTCTTGGCCCAGCTTGGAGTCCGGAGGAACTCTCAGTATAAAGGACCGCTTTGGCTTTAGGGGCATTGGAACCACTTTTGCAGCCATCGCGCCTTGAAATCACACACCACACTCGTTTTGCAGAGCTTCAGGAGTCCCCTCTTACCGAAGGAAATCTGTCAGATAGCCAAGCTGCAGACAAGAGAAACCATGGGTTACCCACAAAACCAGGTAGGCATGCCTGCACCCCAGTATGCGGCCTGGAGAGTGAGGCCACACGAAATGTAAAGCGGAAGGAAAGGTAAGCTGGGGTGGGGGAACTCCTAACTGAAACGGAAGGTCCCTGAACTAGACACTCTTAACAAGCTTGGCCTGAAAGGAAGATCTGAGAATGAAAGCCGGACGATGTCCAAACCTCAAGGGTCATCCTCCCGAGAAATAGGAGATGCAAACTCCACTGGGAAGAGCGGGTGAACTCAAGCAGGTGGGAAGAGCGATGGGCTAGAAGACAGGACACCTGGGGTCCGACACCAAGGGCATCTGCTTATAAGTTGGCCTGGCCACTCAATCAAGCCGTAATGCGCACCTAGGACCCCGGGTCCCTCAGATGCCCTTCGGGGAGGGGGGGGGGGCAGTTGATGGCTCAAGGAGCAATCGCAAGGCCCCAAGAGCTGTCCATACATGGCCTGCTGACTCTTTTCCGCCGTGAGAGCCCCGGTGAGAGCGGCAAGGGACATCCCAGTAGGGGCCGGCAGGCCAGGCCCACTCTGGAGCCTCTCCCACCGGCCAAGGGGCACCTTTACCACCACGACCAGCCAGCGGCATTGCCCGGGGTACGTTCCCGGCTCCCCAGCCGGTCAGGCACTCCCAGCAACGGACCAAGCTCTGCTCCCTAGAGGCCGCGTCAGCCTGGTTCCCGCCCTCGCGGAGCCCCTCACCTCTCGGGGGCTGTGCCGCCTCTGGGAGCTTGCAGGGGACGGTCCACAGACCCAGGCGCAGAGACACGGGGAAACTAGGCGCGAGAGGCCAAGCCCTCCCCTCGCCCTTCGGAGTGCCCTCACAGGCCGCCGGCGACTATTGGCGAGCGCCGCCGTCAGTTCAGGAGCACGGCCGGGCGCGGTGCCTTCTGGGAGACCGGGTGCCCCCGCAGCTGCTACGTCACGACCGGTACTTCGCTTCCGGTGCGGAAGCCTGGTCTCCCCGCTCGGAGCGAGCAGTCTGCGCTTGTGAAGGCGAGGCTCGAGGCCGGCGACAGACCTCTCAGCGACAGAGGGAGGTTAGGCTGGCGGCAGCCGCTGCGTCTGGGGCCCTGTTTGGGAGACGAAAGGCAGAAAGCTGGCCCCAGTCCTCCATGACGGACTGGCACCTCTCCAGGTACTGGCGGTGTAGCTCCATGACCTGCTGGGAAATGTAGTTCGGCTCCAAATAGCCAACGGGTGACCGCCAGGCGCGGCGGTTGCGACGGGGCAGTCCCACTCCCATCCCACCTACACCCCACCCCTGCGGCTCGGCCGGATGTGGGCTGTCTCTCGGCCCGGAAGATCTGCGCGAGGCGGCGGCTGTTTCCGCCAGAGCGTCCAGTGTGGGTCAAAGGACTGCAGAGGCGGTGAGTGGGTGGTGGGTCAAGGTCTTTGCCGGGTTCCGGGTCCTGTCACAGCTGTCCCTCCTGACGGGGGCGGCCCGTAGGTCAGAGCCGGGCGACCCTCCCTTTCCCTGCTTGCCAGCTTCTACCGTGCGTTCTGAACGGGTCATCTTGTTTTCAGAGAAATCCTAGTGGTCCTTCTCCAGTCGCCTTCGTTTCCGTCCTCAGCCTCTCACGGAGGCCTAAGCATCCTTTCTCCTTGCGTTGTTCCTGTACTCGGTTTATTCCCCAGTGAGGCACTGCTCAGGGTTGTGACAACCTCGGGGCAGGGATTGCCTTATTCCTCTAAGCAACACCAGCCTCCGGCTGGATGACACAAGTAAAAATACAAATATTTTTTTTTCTTAACCTTGACTGTAGGTGACTCACTTAGCCATGGTTTAAAATATGTTACAGAAGGGGCGCCTGGGTAGCTCAGTCGATTAAGCGTCCTACTTCGGGTCGCGATCTCGCCGTTTGGGAGTTCAAGCCCCACATCAGGCTCACTGCTGTCAGCCTGTCAGTGCGGAGCCGGGAGCCTGCTTCAGATTCTCTTGTCTCTTTCTCTGCTCCTCTACTACTCGTGCTCTGTCTCTCAAAAATAAATAAACGTTAAAAATTTTTTTTTTAATATGTTACAGAGTAGTGTCAAAACTGTGTTCTACCACAAGTTTTTGTAAAAATAAAGAATACTTGCCTTTCCAGGCATCAAACACAAAACAAAGCAAACAGCAATAAAAATTGCTTCAAGCAAAGCAGTATGGTTTGGGGGCACCTGAGTGGCTTAGTCGGTTAATTCTTTATTTGGGATCAGGTCATAATTTCACAGTTGGTGAGGCAGAGCTCTGTGTTGGGCTATGTGCTGACATTATGGAGCCTGCTTGGGATTCTCTCTCCCTCTCTCTCTGCCCCCTCCCTTGCTCAGGCGTGTGCTTTCGAATAAATAAACTAAAAAAAAAGGGTGCTGGTGGGGCCTGAGTGGCTCAGTGAGTTAAGTGGGGGAATCTTGATTTCAGCTCAGGTCATGATCTTGTGGTTCGTGGGTTCCATCCCTGCATCTAGCTCCACGCTGACAGCTGGGAGCCTGCTTGGGATTCCCTCTCCGCCCCTCCTGTGTGCTTGCACTCTCTGTCACCCGCCCCCTCAAAAAAAAAAAAAAAAAAGTATGCAGGTCATGATCCCATGGTTAGTGAGTTTGAGTCACACATCAGATTCCATGCTGACGGTGCAGAGCTTGCTTGGGATTCTCTGTTTACCTGCCTCTCTGCCCCTCCTTCACGTTCCTTCTCTCTCTCTGTCTCCCTCTCTCTCAAAATAAATAAGATCAGTATGATTTGAACTAGGAGTCAATAAATAGAACAGTAGAAAAGAATAGTAAATACCAAAATTGACCTGAATGTCTGTGAACCTGTATGAAGGGTAGCATTTCAACTTAAAGTAAAATAGATGATGCTAAGCAAAAGTTGTCTCTTCTGGAAAGAAAGTAAGGCTCGTTTCCTTATACTGTACACAAAAAAATGGAATTTAATAACCAGTAAAAGAACACAAAAGAACGTTAATGTAGACGCAAAACAAGAAACTGAAATGCCTTAAAGTAAAATATAATCCTGTGTAACTGTATTTTACAAAAACTTTGGGGGCGCCTGGGTGGCTCAGTCGGTTGAGCGTCCGACTTTGGCTCAGGTCAGGATCTCGCAGTTTGTGACTTCTAGCCCCGCATCAGGCTCTGTGCTGACAGCTCAGAGCCTGGATCCTGTTTCAGACTCTATGTCTCCTTCTCTCTGCCCCTTCCCTGCTCATGCTCTGTCTCTCTCTGTCTCTCAAAAATGAATAAACATAAAAAAAAAAACTTTAAAAAATAGTATTAATAAAGTCAACTAATGAATAGACTGGAAAGCAATTGTAAAAGAAAGACCAGATAAAGAATTAGACATTCCCAACATACAAAGAACTCCTGCCAGCTGATAAAAGACAAAAGGCAAAGGCTATGAAGTCACGAAAAGTAAATGGCCATTAATATTTGAAAAGAAGCTTAGGCACTTTAGAAATAGTTTGTCAGTCTCTCAGAATGATATCACAGAATTACCATGGCCCAGCAATTCCATTCTTAGGTATAAGCTCAAGAGAAATGAAAACATATTTCCATACAAAAACTTGTATGAGAATAGCAGCATTATTCATAATGGCTGAAAAGAAACAATCCAGATGTCTATTAACTGATGAGTGGCTAAACAAGAGGTAGTATGTCCCTACAATGGATTATTTTTCAGCAGTAAAAAGAGGAATGAAGTACTAACGCATCATTTAACATGGATGGACCTAGAAAACATGCCAAGCGAAAGAACCCAGTCATAGAAGCCCGCATATTGTATGATTCTACTGGCATGAAGTGTCCAGAACGGGCAAAAATCCACAGAGACAAAAAGTGGGTAGTGGTTGCCGGGGGCTGGGGATAGGATGGAATGGCAAGTGACCTGCCAGTGGATGTAGGGCTTGTTTTGGGGGTGATGGAAATATCCTGGATTTAGTGCTGAGGTTTGTACATATTGTGAATATACTAAAACCCGCTTAATACATACTTTGATGCTTATTTTTTTTTTATTTTTTTTTTCAACATTTATTTATTTTTGGGACAGGGAGAGACAGAGCATGAACGGGGGAGGGTCAGAGAGAGAGGGAGACAGAGAATCGGAAACAGGCTCCAGGCTCTGAGCCATCAGCCCAGAGCCTGACGCGGGGCTCGAACTCACGGACCGCGAGATCGTGACCTGGCTGAAGTCGGAGGCTTAACCGACTGCGCCACCCAGGCGCCCCTTGATGCTTATTTTTAAGAGGGGGAGACAGAGCGCAAGCAGCGGAGGGGCAGAGAGAGGGAGACACAGAATCCGAAGCAGGCTCCAGGCTCCGAGCTGTCAGCACAGAGCCCGACGCGGGGCTCGAACTCACAAGCCGTGAGATCTTGACCTGAGCCGACGTTGCATGCCTAGGTGCCCCTTAATATACAGTTTGAAAGGGTGGATTTTATGGTATGTGAATTCTATCTCAATGAAAAAAAAAAAAAAAGGGAAATTTTCATCTTACAAATACAAATGTTTAGTATCTAAAATATTTATGTAGTTCCATAAAAATATTTATGGAACTACAGACAGCTGAGTTCCCTATCTAGATTCTACATGGCAAGTAGTTAAAGGAACTGTGCTGTTCCTGTAGAATGAAGTGAAAAGTAGGAGTTCATGTGGAAAATTCACAGCCTCACTAACAGGTGATGAAATAAATAAATTAAAACATAGGTAAAACCCCATTACATCTCTACCGAGTCCGCAAAAAAAAATGTTTAAATGACAAACGTTACTTTGGTCATGAAACATTATTTAATCTTTCTGAAGGGCTGTATGGCCAGCTGTAACAAGTGTCATCAAATAGTTCACGTTCTGAAGCCATTTTATGAATAACAGGAGAAAATATATATGTACGGGGAGGTGGTGGAGAAAATACAGGAAGATGTTCATGGAAAGGTTTCATCAAGGGGAAATTGGGAACAGCTAAGCAAATAGAACACATGAACTGTGTTGGAGTGTCAATCGTGTGCATAGAACCAAACTCCAGGAAGGAACCAAGGCCTTGTTTCATGTTCTGGCCACAACTGTGGAGAACTTGAGTCCAGTCTAGGTTCTAGCATGAAAATGGAAAGATGAGTTGGAGTAGGAGAGGTTTAGAGTCTAATATTCTTTTGATTCTTTTCTCCCTCCCTCTTACATCCTTTCTCTTTGCATCTCTTTAAATGGGGGATGACAGAGGGAGTACCTGAACTAGAACACCCAATATTCCACAGATTCTCCATGGATCAGGACAGATTTTTTTTATTTATTTTTTTTTAATTTTTTTTCAATGTTTATTTATTTTTGGGACAGAGAGAGACAGAGCATGACGGGGGAGGGGCAGAGAGAGAGGGAGACACAGAATCGGAAACAGGCTCCAGGCTCCGAGCCATCGGCCCAGAGCCCGACGTGGGGCTCGAACTCACGGATCGCGAGATCGTGACCTGGCTGAAGTCGGACGCTTAACTGACTGCGCCACCCAGGCGCCCCAGGACAGATTTTTTTTTAAAAGCTGACACTTGAAACGTGTGTCTGTTTTCCCACTCGAGCAGCTCCGTCTTTCTCATGGTGTTCAGTAGGGAAGTGGGATCTCACAGTGATCGACTAAGTGACAACAAATTGAGTGCAAACCGAGTGTAATTATGACCAAATTTTCAAATCGGTTTATTTATGAGGCCCAGTCTGCTTGATTGATTTTTCAGCTTTCCAAGTCCTCAAGAAAAGAGGGGGATGGAATGAAGGGACACATCTTTGCCATAGAGTTCTGAGGGAACCTGAGGGTGAGGTCTCTGTCTCGGGGGCATCTTAGGGTGCTAATTCATACAAGGATTTATTAAGCAACAGCCATGTACTTCCCCCTTTGAGGTATCATCAGTACATGTGCTCTCTTCACCCTTGTTTTACCAATATTTGTGTACCTAGCTTATTTCTGCTACCATCCCATAGGCATTTTGGACATAGACGCTATTCTCTTATTCAATATATTACCCACAGCAGCTGAAACCCAGTAAGTGTTCGATAATGACAGTTGAGTATACGGATTCAAGATACAAGGCTAGGAGCCAGAAGAGAGATGCAAAGTGTTGGGCATTCAGGGAGGCCCCTGGCCACCCACTGGACAGATGATCAGAGGATCCGTGTTCTTCCCTCCATCATGTGTTCCAGGGCTGAAGATAGGCTGAAGGGGCCCAGAGCAAGAGAAGCTGGTGAATGTGTAGATAACGGATTTGTTTGTTACATTGTAAAAGGAAATGTCTCCGGTGGTGTAATCAAGGAAGATGCCGACACGTCTGGGGGGTTCCGTCATCTGCAGGCGCGTTGGGGGAATGGTGGACACCTGGAATTCGCTTCGCTTTGTCATCATCACCACCCAATAGCCATTGTCAG